GAATCCCATAATAGTGTGGAACAGTGCTTTCTTGTGTATATATTGGCAGAAAGTAAATAAAAATTGCTGACATAAAGAATAAGCAAGACTGTTACTTAGATTTAATAAGTTTCAGTCCTGTGATACATCTTTAATTTTAGGATTAGATTTTATGGAGTAGGATTGTTTTTCTTCCATAAGAAAAATCATGTAACAGTGTACATTTGTAGATCTAATTCCTAATGCTTAATGAATCAGGCTGTTTGAAAATTCCAAAGCATGCCTCTGTAGTTATAAAATGTTATTACAAAGTAAAATAATCTTTGGCTTTTTCTCCTATCCTGTATGGTGAACTGGCTTTCCCTTGTTAGGTTAGGCAGCATACGTCCAATGGAAAAAAAGAATTCTTGTTTCCCTGTAGATCACTAGGATCCTCCATTCTGAATTCTTTATTTTACTTAGCTTTAGGGCAGTTAAAGCCTCAGCTGCTCCACAGAGAGGAGTTTCTCTTCAAGGCTGCTGCTTCAAAGGATTTCCAGAACTAGGAAAGGGACAGTAACCAGCAAATGCCGACAGATCTTCCTGCTTCTGGCCCTGAAAATGTGTGTGTGGTGTGTGTTTGTGTTTTCATACACCTACACATTGGCCCGAAACCATCAAGTAGCATCCAACAAGGCTCATAACAAAATCTCCCCATGCTAATGAGTACACTGGAAGAGGGGAGAGTCTGCAAAGAAGGGGAGGAAATACATTGTTTGGTCAAAAGGAACAAACCCTTGAGCTTTTTGTTCAAAGGAATAAAAGTTAACAGGTTGGAAGCTTAAACTGTTTTTGGCTTTAACTTGGTTTTGAGTACTCTTAGTGTTTTAGTTGGGGTTGCTGGGGTGGGGAGTGATAGCCTCAATATAATCTCAGCACTTGATATGATGCTTTCTCAACATAGAAATGGAGCTGTTTCTACTTTAGCAGCACACAAGAGGTTTTTGAGAATATTGAAATCTGATTTAGTAATATTGATACAGAGATTGTCTGTTACTTTTCCTTGGACTTGTGTGTACTTGAAGTATCCTTCAAAGAGGTTCAACCATCTCTGTGTCTATAAACACATGAAACTTATTCATGGTCTGTCACTACTTGAAAAGATGTGTACAGTATTGAGTTAAAATGCAGAAAAGTGATTTAAACAAGGACTGTTTTCTAGTTAGGTATTACAGTGGAGTTGTAGATTACTCAGGTGGGCGGCTTATCTCAACTTAGAGATGGTGTCTTCCAAAGAAATAAAAAAGAACAAAAAAAACCCCACTCACTTTGATTATGTCCAGTGATTCTATTAGTTTTTTTCTCCTTCATGAGATGGAAGGGCTAATTGTACAAAGAAATATGCTGGCCAGCATGTCTTTGCACATACATCAGTTCTTTTCACGAAAAGTAGCAGCATACATATAAATGCAAATTTAACACTTTGTAAACTTACTCTAGTTCTGATTTTACTCAGAAGCTTTATTGCATGTTACAGTAACAGGACATGTACACAGCATCACTTGGTAAAGAAGCAGATATTAAGCTCCTTTTAATGGCAGTGCCTTTGTTGAGATCGGGAGCTCTGATAAATGAGCTTTGGCATTTCATGATTGAATGGGGTAAGGGGTGTAGTCTCTAATAGTCTGCCCATTCTTGTACAGGAGGTTAATGCTCGTGTAGGCTGGATAGCAGGAGTGAGGTTGTGATGGCTTCTCAGCTGGAAAGGCACCCACCCTTTCTACATCTAATCCTTCATCCTGTCCAAATAAAAATAAGCCCCCTCAAAAGTGGAGGAGTCATCTAACGTCTAGGTTGGGATTTGAGAATCATTAATCTTCTAAAGCCCGTCCAAAAACATGATGAGGAAATTATTAGTGTGAAGGCCCCTCTGGGGGCATCAGGAGTTGTGCTTTCTCGTGCAACGCTGAACATGAGATGTGAACCCTTGGATATCACTGCTTTCCAGAGAGAAAAATATTTAGAAGCCTTTTTTCTTGTTGTTGGGGATTTTTTCCCCCCTTTATCCGGTTGCCATACTGTGTAACTGGCTTCTAGTCTGATAGTGTTTTAGGTGACTAGAATAACAGTCTGTCTCTTTCCACAGTGGCTGCAGACAATCTGGCAGCAATCACTGTTACTTTTTAATATTTTTGGTTATTTTGAGATATCCTCCAAATGTCTCAAAGAAGGCTTGGAACGCTGAAGGGGAAGAAACATTTTTTTTTTTTTTTTTTTTTCTTTAAGAATAGCAGCATCAGGAGGAAAATGAAATTCAACATGCTGCTATTTGTTTTTGCAGTGGTCATCACCCTGATTGCCAGCTCTGACAATATTTTCACAGAGAGGGTAACTAAATAGATGGTATTTGTTCTTTATAATAACTCTTTCAGTAGAATGTCAGGACCTGCATCTAAATGAATATATTCACATTTCATGTTTCCATTTTTTATTTAAAGCTTTTCCCCTCCCAACTTTATGAAACTACTTCATAACAGACTTGGGAAGTTAAAATCAGGATTCATGTGGTGGATATGCCATGCTTCATAGCTAATCTATAGAGACCTAGGTGTATAAACCGATAAAAGCTAGGTCTGGTTTATTGGGTTTTTTTACTTATCAAGTGTTTGTTTAGTTTAAATACGTCTGTATCTTTTTGATCAGTCTAAGCAATTTGCATGCTATGCAGCAGGCATCTTCTATACTTTATTAAATATCTGTCAATTATAAATATCAAGGTTTTACATTAATGTCAAGATAGTGCATCAAAAATTCATGGAATATGTGACTTTTTTTCAAGGGTATTTAATACTTAATGCATTTGTGTCATTTTTCTTTCTAGATATATTGACAGGTTTTATTAAGTGTTTGTTAGGGAGATTTCATTTTTACCAAGGGACCATAAAGAGAAGCTGCATACTAAATCAATTTTTTAATCAGAATATTGTTCTTTTTTGTGTGTCTTCAGATTCTTATAATCCGTGGGGTTTTTAAGTTACGTTCCAGCCTAGTCCAGGTCAGAAAGCTAACACAAATGTGCTGACATTGGAGCGTCTTAACTTTTAAATAGCTGCTAGTTTCTCGTGTCACAAAACGTTATAAATATGGTAATCCTGTACACCAGGGTTTGTATTCTGCCTTGTGTCTTTTATTAGAAAGCTATCGATTTTACACCTCACCGTAATTTACTGGTGTTTTTGTTTATGTGAGCGACGTCTGGGCTGTCTCAGTGCAGACTTGGAGGGAGTTACGAACGGGGAAGTCTGCGGAGCACGTAGTGGAATCCCAAAATTCAAGTTGGTTCGTTACATTCGGATCCTTCCTGCCGAACGCTGGTCACGACAGCTGCTATGGGGGCTTTCCTCGTCCTTCATCTGCCCCGACCCGCTCGGCGCCCAGCCGGACGAGGCGCCGTTCCGCCTTTGGCCGGCAGGTGGCAGGAGCGGCCCTCCGCTGAGGCGCCGTGCGGCGCGGGGCACGGCCGGGCCGGCTCCTGCCTGCGGGCTTCCCCCGCTCAGTGCATCGCGTCCCGTCGCTGTAGAGCCGATCGTTAATGCTGGCAATAAAACACTGACGTGAAATTGTCGCGAAGGAATAACGCGGGCCAGGCGTCTCCCGAAGCGTGCTGCTCGGGGTGTCTCTTGGGTTTGTTTGCGCGGCTCGGTGAGAGGCGGCAGTTCCGTCGAGTGCCGCTGCAAGGAAAGCCGAGACGTGCCGTGCCGTGCCCGGCGTGATGGAAAATTGGCGGAAATGCGCTTTAAAACGAAACCAAAAAGCGAGGGGAAGGACTTAGTCCAGCGCTAAGTCACCCAAAGGGTTAAGCGAGGGGCTGAGCACGGGGGCACCTGGGACCGAACACCCAATTGGCAGCCTTTTGTAATATATAATTTGCCTAAAATTGCGCGTTGAGCGCAAGCTTTTGTTTTCTAATTGATTTACGGTTTGAGCCACTTTTACCTCATCCCCTACTGTCCTGCACACGGTGCCAGCAAGTACATTACGGAGAGCGATGATGAATTGCCGCGCACTTGTGATGCTAATGCATCGGGAGTAAGGCGCTGCATGGAGCTGCTGCCTTACGGCGTCACGGGGACAGAGCTGGGCAGCATTCATCTGTATCTTTTGAAATAACGTTTGATCACTTGCTTCAATTTGTCTCTGAGACCTAATTGAACCTGAAGAGTAGAATTTATGTTGTTATGGCTTTCCGCTTGCGAGCTGGGATGAAGTTCTGAAGTGTGGGCTGAAAACTACCTGCGTTGTTTGAAAGTTGAAACAAGTCGATTCATTAGGAAAGTAACAGGCATTAGGGCTACTGAAAGCCTTTTACAAATCTGTAGATTTTGCTTGTCAGCGCCGACTACAATTGGCTTTCTCAAGCGGGGTTACTTCGCTTTTAAAGCAGGGTATGGGTCGACAGTTGATGTAGGTATGGTCTCATCTGTTTGTCACCAAGGCTTTGTAAACATTTTAATGTTTGATTTCTGAAGTGAAGTGCAGCTTTTACTGGGAAAAAAAAAAAAAAAAAACAACCCCACCAACTTCTACAGGTATAAGGGAAGAAATGAAAAACATGTATTCTTTTCCTTGAACAAGTGAAGTGCTTTACTGCTATTCCAGGAAAGAGGAAATGGAGAGAGCTGGTGAAACCTAATGTGTGCTTATTGTCTGATTTCTTTCTCCCACCCTGCAGAGCTGCGTTTTGTTTTACCTTTGCATACTCAGTCCACCTTAATTTTTTTATTATTTTTGTATGATGTCTGTGGGTTCCAGTCCTGAAATATGAAGAAACAGATTTATGGCGGCTGCTGGGCACAACAAATTAAGTTGACAGTGATGTATGAGAGCATAATAGCATGATGATCCCTCTGTAGCGCGGCTGGACGCCTCCTGCTTCATTTGGCTCTTGTTAGGATCTGTTAGGCAGCTAAATAATGAAATTCTGCTGACTGATTTCTGTTTTCTTTCTCTTTCCACCTTTTTCTGAAACTTGTGTTTCCCAGACCCATCCTAATGCCAGCAAACTACCCTTAAAGGATTCTTTCACTTATGATGACTACAGGTTGGTCTGTCTGTCTTAATTCTTTTTTGTTGTGTGTGAACTGAGGGGCCATGGTAATGCTTCACTGATGGGAAAGCACAGTCTTGAAATGTTAAACGTAGGATTTGATACTAATATACTTAATGAGGAAAGTGAAATAAATATGCATATTTTAATAGTTTCAAAGGAATAGTCATGAGTAGTAAATTTAGCCAACTGGCACATGCAGTCTGAGATTAGTAAGGTAATTCATTAATTTTTTAAGAAAATAATTCGGTTCATTTTGCTGGAGTTTGTTTTGTTTTTGTGGATTTGTTTTAAATTTTATTTTGCAAGAGGCTTTACCAATACGTAGTAGCAAATATCTACAGTGGATGTTGAACTGGTAAAGCTGGAGAACTTAAGCTGTAGAAATGAACCTTGAATGTCACTCAGAGGTTCTATGGGGGTGACATAATTACAATAAAAATAAGAATAATTAAAATGATGAGCTAAATTCTGCTAAGTGATTAAAATAGCTGGAGTAAAAGGCATTCATGAGGTCTGAGAGGCTTCTGGGTAAGTCTACGAAACTGGCACATTTGAAGCATGCCTGCTTCACTTACAAGGCTGCAGAGGAACATGCCAACTTGCAGGTGAAGTAGACTAAAATTTTTCAGATTAAAAAGAAAAATCCTACTGTTATGTTTCAGATGATATTTGTATATTGTATATCAAAGCTATCCATGGTTTTAACTTGTTATTTAAGAAATGAATTAAAATTCAAGTTGACCATACCTTTGTAAGCAATCTGGAGCACTTCTGGGAAAAAAAAACACCAAACCTTCTGAAATGTTACTAATAATGGAGTCTGGGGAGTTAATTTTTTTTTTTACCTTCTCCTGGTGGTATTTGTTTTTTCAAGAAGAGCAATGATATATATACTAAGACCAGAGCATAGTGATACTTGAAGATTTCTTCTTTCTGTCATTAGATATTCATTTATGTCTGAAATGTAATAAAATGGAATTTCAGAAATGTTTAGGAAATACTGGGATATTCAGCTTTTCCAAAGATTCCTGTGTTTGAATACATAGCTGGAATTTCATTTACTTAACCTGACTTAGAAGAGTTTGAATGATTCTTCTGTTACCTCTTGCTGTTATTAACGTATTACTTAAAAAAATAAATTTGGAAATTCCTTGTGTAAATGTCTGCTCCAGATTGTGTAACAGGCTCTCTGTACATTGATGTATTGAACACGAACACCTAATGTTCTTTATTTTTGTAGATGGGCAGTTTCCTCTGTTATGACACGGCAGAACCAGATTCCAACAGAAGATGGTTCCAGAGTTACGTTGGCTCTAATACCTCTATGGGACATGTGTAATCATACTAATGGACTGGTAAGGTTTACTTCAGTGTTGTTGAAAGGCTTTAAGGCTTAAGTATTAAGCCTTTCAAATGCCAGCAAACAGTTATAGTAACTTTTCATTACACTTCTTAATACAGTGACTTTATCCTCCTGAATGACCATTAAAAAATCTTACAGCTGAAAGAAAGATTTATCAATTTCTTAAATGTCTTTTATTAGTTTTTCAGGAGAGCTTTCTTCATTTAAACAAACATTTAGAAACGATTGCATACAGTTGTGTCTCGTGTGTATAACATACCTTTAAGAGTTCCAGCTACATGATACCTCTTTTTTTTTTTCCAGCCATTTTTCTGACATAGAGTTTTGTTTCTGACTAGTCTGACAAAGATTCGCCATACTAAATAGATCTGTACTGAGAATATGAAAGCGACAATGATGGAGGTTACCTCTTATAGCTACCATTAGGGAAAGTGGTTAGAAATTTGCAGCTAAGAAATACTGCCTGTTCTCTTAACTGTGCCCAGAGAGAACCTTGTTATGGAGACAGCAATGACAAGAACAAAGCCCAGTTCAACAAAAACAGTACATCTGTTACTACATCAAAGAAAAAAAAAATGCAAAAATACTACTTTAGGGCATATTAAACATTTAAAAGGTGACACATCTATAGAAAGTCAGATCTGCTGACATTTTGTCTTACGTGAGCTGGTTTAGAGGATAAGGTCTTGATTTCATTAACAGGCTAGTTAATGTTGAAGTGAGGAAATGGAAAACTGTAAGGGGACAGTTTATCGGTGTTGTTTAGCTAGTGTTGTGTATGCTTCAAGATTTATATTCTAAAATTTTATTTCCACTAGATAGTATTATTTAAGTAGTAAATACAACCATTCTATTTCAAGTGATCTCGTCCTTTTGTAGGAGAGTTGACCCGAGTGTTAGGACAACAGCATGTGTTACTATTGCTGCTGTAAGAAGAGCTTACTTTACACGAACAAAATGTGAAAACAAGTTGTTTTTCACTTGATACTTAGTTAATTTATTTTTACCATGATTGTTCCAATTACAGCTCCAAAAACCAGGCTACAAAGTTGCATGTTTGGCTATTGTATTTTTTTCTGTTGTGTTTTAGTACTGATTCTTGCCTTTCACTATTTTGCAATCTCACAACTTTGATTTCTCTTGTATGAGAATCTCTGATATCAAGAAAATTGCTTTGAATTCAAAAACGTATATTTTTGTAATGTAAGTCTTAGCTGCATGCATCAGTACTTCTTGTGCCCTTCTGCTGGGCTTCTCTTTATGATACTTTTGCAGGGACTTGCCTGTATTCATTAGACAGCTCTTAATGAATGCCTTCAAAGTTGGGATTAAAGGGAAAGGAGAAGAGAATTAAGGTTCTGGGAGAGAAAAAAATAACCAGCCCATATTAAAAGAGTAGTTAGGTGTGTTGTTTTAGTCATTCAAACTTATATTTAAATTGATAAAGTAATTTTTTATCTTTATTATGTTCCTTTACATTGGGTTTGATATGGAGCCAGTGTCTGGAGCCAAACCTGCTAGTGCAGTAGTATATCAGGGCTCTAAGCAATTTCTTATGCTTAAGTGTATCCTAAAAAAGAGAAGAGGGGAAGGGAGGAATCTTAAATAATTTGAATTTCTATACAGACTTTATTCATTTGTTTCATATTTCCACACAAGCTACTATAAAACAGCTATAGGCTTAGGAAGGATAGACAACTAGAGCACTGACAGTAAGAAAAGCTACTCAACATTTTTCATTCTGTGTATTGTATAGTAGAAATTGAGAAGAAAAAAAAAACTGCTAAGGTAACTGTAAGATGTCTGTGTTGTGGTTTATATTGCTGTAGAGTGGGATGAGGGTAGATTCTGCTGTAGATATAGCACATGAAATAAACAGTTCATTGTATGAAAATAAGACATGAGAGATGGTATTGTATGTACCACTGTCTAGTCTATTCCAAACATACTGAAATGCTTCCTGAGTCAGTGACCTACTACATATTCCTGTTCTTGCTGTATTCTACAGGGCCCCATTGCCCAAGCTGGATAATAAAATGCTCTTTAGGTTTTAACTGAAGTCAGGTCCATCCTGCTTTTTCGTGCTTCTGACAGTACTAATTAGATCAACCTTCCTCTAAGAACTATATCAAAATGGTTGTCTTCATGCATTTCTCATTGTTATTCTTTAGTGGGATTGTATTTTGACAGTCAGAGGTTGATTACCAGTTCTGCCAGAGCTTTAAATAAGCTACACTCTGCCTATTGGGCTGGGTCCATCCATAATCACTGACCAAGCAGAGTACCAAGCAGCAAAACTTGAAATTCATATACTGGTCTGCTTCAGAAATAAAACTGGAGGGATGCAATTTGTCAACCATGATGTGGGAAGAGAAGTAATCACCCTGTTAATTCTGTTACATGACTGTTATTAAAAGAAAGAGGAAGTAAGTCTAGCACTCCATTATGCTTTTCAGAAAAGCCTTTCGAATGTGCTGCTGTTTAAAACAAAGGAAAGAAAGCAACACCACTCAACCCGTAAAAAAAAAAAAAAAAAAAGAGAAATAACAGCCTCAAAACACTAGTGGTAGTCTAGTGAAGCATGCTTAAACTGACCAAATCCTTCCCTTAACATACTGGAATTCTTCCAATTCTTGAAATTCTCCTGTTACACAGTCCTTCGAAGAGCCTGGGAAGGAGTGATCATATATTTCATTGAGTTTATACTTGAAAAAAAAAAAAATCAGGACAGTTCAAATGCTGTCAAGAGTTTTCTCTCTCTCTCTCTTTTTTTTTTTTAATACTCTTGGCAGTTTTTGAGAAGGTAACTGTATCACCATATTTCAACTCGGAGGATACCTTGTAATAGAGAGGGCAAATCCTCTTCACTTGCAACTATCAGTTCAAGGTTGAATAACTTTGTAAACGGAGCATCTCAATTAGAAATTGTTCAATCCAGCATGATGAATGCACAGGAACTTCTGTGTTGAAACACTGCAGTCTGTCTTTTGCAGTAGGCCGTGTTGCATGACTCTAATGTTCTCTTCTGATCTCAACATACCACAAATCCTTTTAATAGATTTTAAGTGGTGGCATCTGTGTGCAGTGCAGTTACGCAAGTGTCCCACAGGGCCAGGCTGCCCTAGCTTGTGGCTGCCATTTTGGATGTGCTGTGTCTGAAACAAGTTCCCTGTGGTCACTTTGAAAGCATTGTTTTGGCTTACAAATGCACCTTTGGTTATGCAAGCAGTGTAAAGCTATTAATATGTAAACCATTGACCAGGCTTTCAAAATAACCCATGGAGTTCTGTCTTTGGATAAATTTCATCCAAGATGGGAATCACAGTATAGTTAAACTTGTTTTTAAGTCAGCTTATGAAGAAATATTTATTCATTTACAGAGACTGATACAGGAACTTCAGCTTCTTCTAAGTTTTCCTGTAGAGCATATTTTTCAATAAGTTAGCTTTTTAAAGACTAAATTCAGAACGCCTGCCATAGTAGTTGTTTTCTGATTGTGCAGCAGATTTTGTTTCAGCCTGTATTTGCATCTGTGTCTGTATGTTTATAATAATACTCAAAGTAATGTAAAAGTATTACATTTTTAGAATAGCCTTACTTGGTGGTGTGAACACTTGATCATTATAGAGAAGTACAGGTTGGTTAAGAAATTTGCCCTCTTCCATTGTCTACTAAAAGAAAAATCCTGTGTTAAGGATATTATCTAACTTTAGTTAAAGAGATTATTTGCATGTAAATTATAATTTTCTGAAGATTATATCCCCTACAGATCCACAGTTATCTAATCCATTTTCACTGGGAGATCAAAAACATGCTAGTAGTTGAAGGATAAAACACAGAATGTAGAACTGTCAGAGGCTCCTGTGGGCCTTGTGGGAGTGACAGAAAGCTCAAGAACTTTTTACAAGAAGCAGCTGGCTTTAGCATGGAACATGTAGGGGAGACAGTTGGTGACAAGTGGTATCCCCCAAGAGTCTGTCTTTGAACCTGTGCTCTTCAACATCTTTACCAGCTGTGGCCAGCAGAGTGAGAGAAGTGATTGTCCCCCTCTACTCTGCCCTAGTGAGGTCCCATCTGGAATACTGCATCCACGTCAGGGGACCCCACTGCAAGAAAGATGTAGAAATGTTGGAGCAGGTTAAGAAGAGACCATGGAGATGATCAGAGGGCTGGAGCACCTCTTCTATGAAAAAAAGGTCAAGGGAGCTGTTCTTGGTCAGTCTGGAGAAGAGGAGCCCCAGGGAGACCTCATTGCAGCCTTTCAGTACATAAAGGGAGCTGATAGGCAGGAGAGAGACAAACTTGCTACACAGTCTAATAGCAGTAGAACAAGGTGTAATGGTTTCAAACTAAAAGGGGAGGTTTACATTAAATATTAGGAGAAAATTACTCAGGGGGTGGTTAGGCACTGGAACAGGTTGCCCAGAGAAACTGTGAATCCTCCATCTCTGGAGGTCTTCAGACTCAGGTTGGATGGAGCCCTGGGCAGCCTGGTCTGGTGGGTGGCAACCCCCATGGCAAGGAGCTTGGAACCTGTTAGGGTTTCAAGCCAAGCAATTTTATGATTCTGTGATTCTGTCATACTTTGTCTCACAGTCTTCCATTCACTTCAGTTATTTCTTTTCTTGGATTTCTGCAATTCAGAGAGAATTTTAAAGAGATTGATTAGAAATCTTAAAATATTTATTACTGTCTGTATTATATTGGGTAGAGAAATAAATATATGCAATTGCTACTGTCAATATGTATTTCAATTTGGACGATACTTAATCAACACCAGGGGAGATGGATTAAAAAAATGCTAAAGGTCCTTTTATTGCTCTTTTCTTGGATAGATCACTACAGGCTACAATTTAGAAGATGACCGTTGTGAATGTGTAGCACTTCAAGATTTCAAGGCTGGAGAACAGGTAATGTGAACAGTTGCCTACATAATAGTTCTTCTATGAAGTTTTGTGCAGAAGTGTACTGGAAAGTGAAGGATATTCTGATAAAGGTAGTCTGTAACCGATAGTAGATAGCTGATTTCAGAGATTTTAATTAGCTGCAACAGTTTTGCTAATCTACTACTAAAATTCACACAAAAAAATGACACTTGAAAACTCCCTATAAAATTATAATAGAAGAGTGGTTTGGATTAAGCCCTGCTACAATTGAATTTTATTATCATTAGCTAATTCAGTGTGAAAACACTACCAAGCTAATTAAATACATGATTTGCACAATAAAAGATTTTCCATCACCTGGTGCACCCCAATTTTAAGAGGGCATTGATTGCTCATGTTTTTGATAACTACTTAAATATTTATTCACTGCTGAACGCACAGACACTGACTTCAGGATTTAGCAAAGATTAATAAAGGACTCATATCCAAAGCACCAAAGATAAATATATTTTAGATTTGGAACCTTACTTTATCTGCACTGGAAGGTTGTAGACTCTGAATATGTAGTTGTTTTACTTTTCTTGTTAGTTTCTGAGAGAAGATTAAATGCAGTATACTTGTCAATCATTTTACCCATGTTTCCATTATCATGCTTAGTGAAAATGAGAAGGAGCCTAAAGATATATTCCCTTCCTTTCCTGCTCACATTCCTGCATGTATACACATCTTCATCCTTAAACAGAAAGTAACAAAAATGAGTCTGGTAAAATGCACAGAACAGTTCAGATACAGTATTCTGTTCAGAACTGCTAAGAAACAAAAAATGAATGTTCAAACTAAGTCTGTCAAGTGATGGATTGAAGATGGTGGTTTGGGACTGTAGGAAATTCCTGATGGGAGTGTTCTTGTGCTGTGTCAGCAGCCAGTATAAACACTGAGTGCTGCTGCACTCCATTTTTCCTACTGCTTGTGTGATAGCAGTCTGCATGGACAAAAAAAAAGAGACCTTTTTCCTTTAAAACATTCTAAAATGTTTTCTAACTCAGTCTATCTGATTTACTACCTTTGAGTGTATTATTTTGCTAGTCTTATGCTTTATAATCTTTTGATTTTCATTTTCCTTATGTATTGTTGCCTTCTTTTTGAGCAAAGATACGTATGAGTTTTTTTTAAGTGTGGCTTTCCAGAGGTATATTTATCCTCACTGCTATGCTGTGTTTCACAGTGATTGTATATTTTTTTGTGTTGATCTTAAAATTTGTTATGGTAGTCAAATATTTGCTGTTTTTCCTATACCAGTATGATGAGTTAAAAGGGGTCCACAGTTTTTTCCAGAAGTGATCCAATTTATAATTTTCCACAGCTGGCAATAGATGTGTTGCATAGCTTTCTGGCTGCTCTCTAAATTTCAATTATAGAGGCTTTCTCTCTTCTTTATTTTGTTTCGGTTGTTTCACTTTGCTATTTATTTATTTATTTTTAATCTGTGCAAACTTTAACTGCTATCAGTGTCATTAAAGTGTTTTAATTATGTAATGGTTTAGTCTTTTAATATCGTGTGAAGATGTTATTCCTTGCAGTTTTAGTAGGAAAAGTGCACAGTCCCTGCTTTTGCTGCTAAAAAGCGAGGCAGAAGTCCACAGTCTTATCAAACACTGGCCTCAAATTCAGGAGCTTCTCATATGGCCTAATTTGCCTTCTTGTGTAAGAGAATACTGTATAATGTATGCATGACTGTGAAGTTTAATATGAGATATAATGCAGTAGTTTTCAAACTCAACTCTTGAACTAATTGAGCCAGAGTTTCTTCTAATTGTGCAACATTTCCTGCAATCAAGTGGAGATTTGCACTGGCATTTCATTTCCCATGGTTTTCCTAAGCACTTTTTGGAAGGGCCTTCTTGGAGGAGAGGGTTGCTGACCTGACTTAGCCCTTGCATACATAGGCAGGTCATTCATTCCTTGTATGCCTGCCTTATTGTGTAATGTCTACTATAATTAAATATAACATTAAAGCACTTAGTGCTTAGGGCAAGTACTTCTAATCTAAAACCGAAAGCTAAGAAGGTAAATGGCATTGCCAGTGTTGTTGAGCCCTTAAGAGAACATCATGCCTTTTTCTGTCAGCTAGTCAGGGGTGCAGACTTTGAGATATCCACAGCATTTCCCTGCCCTAAAGTTAAACAGGTTGTTCTGTAACTGCTGAAACTTTATTTTTTGTTTGACAATTCCATTTTGTCAAGGAAAATGGAAAAATATCTTCTTGATGCAGGAGATTACTATTATTCTGACCTTCTGTCCCATAGACTTCATACAGCTTGTGAGTTTGTAATGCTGTGGATTACTTTAATAGGTTTAAAATGTATTTTAACCACATTTATCAGCACGATGGCAATCAAAGATTATTAACTACCTGTAAGTATTTCAGGAAAGTCAGTTACTGGGCATAGGAAACAGATCTCAGTTGGACGCTGTTCCGCCACAGGTAACAAACAAGAAGAAAACTTAATTGAATTTTGCCCTTTATAGGCTCCAAAATTAATGAGATATAAAAGCACCCATAAGAAAAGAGACTTTGCTTGTTCTGCTTTTCACAGAACTGCCTTTCTTTTATCCACTTTTGGGTAAACTTTTTTGCAGCTTAAGTTTAGGAACAGTTCTTTGTATATGAATTAAAGTAATGCATTTGCTTTAGATAAAGGGTTTGGAGTGTAGAACATGAGGAAATATTGGCTTAACGTGGAACTGATCTCTGTATGATTTACTTTGGTATACCCTTGTCTTTAGGTAACATTGAAACCAAGCCAAAGTTGATCCTTCCATTACTCTGTTATGTTGAGCATATGGGGAGAAAATTATCCCAGACACATCAATATTTTAAATGAGTTGTCCTTATCTCAGAATGTTCTTTGGCCCACGATAGTGTACGATCCTTGAAAGCTTATTTCTAAATACCAATGTTTTATGAGATTGTGAGAAACAAAGCAGTTAGTTTTTTTAAAAGTATGGAATAAGAATCTTTTCTCTCCTTTCAGTTTCTTAGTTACATGTATATGTTTACTTCTGCCTCTAGACTTTATGAAGTTTATACGTGATACACAGCATTTGAATCAATGCCATCAAACAAAGCATGTTTCTTCATATGACCAAGTATAACTTGTACTGTGAATAGTAACTTTTCCAAGAAATAACTTTCAAATTATGTCAGATTTGTGAGCTAATCTTAAGCTTTTTTCCTGTCCCTTCACTTCTCTTTTCATCCTTCTAGATTTACATTTTTTATGGCACTCGGTCAAACGCTGAATTTGTGATCCACAGTGGTTTTTTCTTTGATAATAATTCACATGACAGAGTGAAAATAAAGCTTGGCGTGAGTAAAAGTGACAGGCTGTATGCTATGAAGGCAGAGGTCTTAGCTCGTGCTGGTATCCCAACGTAAGTAAAACACAATGTAGTGTTGTTTTTTCTAAAAAAGAAAACCCCACATTTCTAATGTATATAATGTCCATTAATGCATACATAAAGCTGTTCTGTGATAGCTTTCTTGTGTCTAGTATTTCTCATGTTTGTATAGTAAACTAAAGTTGTTATAATAATATTTACAGAAGTTCTCTGAGCTATATTACCATCTAATTTGGACCATATATGAGGGAAAAAAGTCTTTGCTTTAATAACTGTTTGAACAAAAACAGAGGGAGGATTAATTTGAAGTAATCTGTGGTTTTTCTTTCTTTCCTATCCCTTGCAGACATACTACAATGCTCAGTATGTGAACCACAGCATTTTCCTTTAGTCTTTTCAGTCCAGAGGGTACTTTTAGGAGCAGCAGACATGAAACATTGCATTTTCATGCATTTATTATGAAAACCATATAAAAATCATTGTAAGTGTAAAATTGTAGAGATAATTGTTCTTTTCAGATACAGGTTAGAAAAGATTTCCTTCAGTTTAAACTAAAGTTACTTTTGTAACACTGCATTTATTATATTCTTAAATGTCTTTTTAAAAAGTTCAAAGGTATAACAACAGCACTTGTATTTTCTCTTGTTTGATTGCTTCTTTTGTTAGTTCTAGTGTTTTTGCCTTGCACTCCATTGAACCTCCAATCTCTGCCCAGCTTCTGGCTTTTCTTCGAGTGTTTTGTATGAATGAAGGTAAGATAAAACAATCTTAATTCTTGTTTACAGTTTTGATTTTTTTGTTGTTTGTTTTTATTATGCAGTGGAAGGCATTTATATAAAACATTAAGATAGTAGATCAGAAAAAGGAATGTGTTGGAGTTGATGTTACAAGCACAACTGTGAGCCAGTGAGAAACCCAATCTTTGACAGTGTTGTCTGAAAGAATATTGTAGTAGCATAGACTTTCAGAACTTCTGAAGAGGTGATCCAATTGATATTTTATCTCCCAGGCTGTTGTTGAGTGAATGAACTTTGGAGCTTGATCTTTACTTCTTACTTTTAAAAATGATTCACAAAACAAGATGATATGAGACTTAGGGTGTTACTACACTCTTAAAATCATAGCAGTTTAGTCTTTACTACCTGAATCATTCATGTGCAGAATTGGAATATTTTATATTGTATGAAAAATATGGAAGAGAAATTTCAAAGTTGAGTGTATAAAGTATTTTGACATTTTTGGTCTAAATTCAAATTATGTACTTAGTGATTTTTGTTATGTTCCTCTCATGTTGAAGGGATTCAGGGGGAAAATAGATACAACTCTTACATGACAGTGAGAGAATTGCCTTGCAGTCAGATACGATGTACAAATAATATGGATTTAATATCACTACGAATATTGGTGCTGTTGCATTTATTTTGCATGTGTTCTATTTGTTTTCTTTTATAAAAACTTGCCCTTTTTAGTGTCACAGCTTTGCTGCATCCTGCTGTCCATCTCTGTCCATCTTTTAGAACTTATTAAGGAAATCAAGTAAAGAATCTTGCAGGGGGGTTAATTTTGGCTTGGAAAAGGAAATATAATGAGTGGACATCTTAATTGCACTTCTCAGATATGACTGTGCTTTGATTACTCATGTGTCCTTAATAATTCCTGATAAAACTGGTGAGTTTATTGGGAAACTACATGCAAGGAATTATTCCATTAGGAGAAAGATACTGACTTTGGTAATCCTCTTGTAAACAAGTGGAAATTTAAGTACATAGCAATTTATACTGTAGATGTCAGTCATCATTCTGCTGTTTGCAATGCGTTTTACTTGAAGTTTGTGGTAGCTGCCTTTGCAGGAGTGAAATTTGGTAATTAAAGATTGATAGAGAATTCATGTAATGTCAAGGAGCTGATTAAACATTTTCTACTTTCTGTAAGGGTTTTTGATGGGTGTCTCTTTTGACCAGCCATAGGTAGTTTCTGCTGCTGAAACAGATTTCTGAAACATTAGAAAAAATAATCTGTTATTGTTTGTAACTTTCTCTGCCCTGTTTCTTTTATTACCAAAAAGTTCACCAAACTGTTTGAGGAATTATTCCTTTCAGTTTAGTTTATTGGTTATAATACAAAACATCGTATCTCACTGACAGAATTGCATTGTGTATGAGATACTAAAATAATCAGATCTTAATTTAGAGTGGAGAAGATCCTCCTTCTCACCACAAGACTTCCTGTTGCCTCCTTGAGAAGAGTCCTGGAGTTAATCAGCATATTTGATAATTCTCGTTTGAAAGCATTTTTTTTGCTTAGCTGCTCAAAGCTGTACTCTTGAAGATAAACTTTTCTGCAGTTTGTCAGCTAACAAAGTGAATGACAAGATGTTTTTAACAGATTGGTTTTATACTTGTTGCAGAAGAGCTGAAGGAACACTTGATAGGCGAGCATGCCATTGATAAAATCTTCACTCTGGGGAACTCTGAGTTTCCCATTAGCTGGGACAATGAAGTTAAACTTTGGACATTCCTAGAAGCCAGAGCATCCCTTCTTTTGAAAACCTATAAAACAACGGTGGAGGTAAAATTATCATTATATGTAACTTGAACATCTGAAATAGTTTGTATTATGACTTTAAGAAGAGATATTTTGTCCCCATTTTCTCCTTCCAGACTTTCATCTGAACAGTAGTACATAATTCATTTTGCACTTCTTAAAGTGTGGAAAGATATTTGCATTATCTAAGGAAAATCAAATAAGATTGCAAGAAAGAAAATTTTGTTAATGTAATTTTTCTTTGATTCACCAAATAAAGGCTACTTGCTTTTTCTCTGCAAGTAAAATTGGGTACCCGTTTCAACTTGCTGTCTGTTAGTTGTATTCTCCAAACTGCAAAGAAACGTACTACGACTGCAGGCATATTTTAATTGAGTGCATATGTTCCATATGTTTGTGAAGTCTCCTGACTTTGTTTGTTATGCAGGCTGACCTATGTGGAGAAATTTTTGGCTTCTTTATGGATATGTGACAAATTTCACTGGAACTTTATGCAGGCCCCCTCATTCCTATATGTCTATTTGGATCACTGTCACTTACTGTTAAAGCATAGAGAGAAAAATTAAGGGATTTCTGCTATTGTTGGTTGTTGATAACAAAAATTTGCTTTTTTTTTTCTACCAGGACGATAAGTCATTCTTGGAGACTCATGACCTGACTTCACATGCGACAATGGCTATCAAGCTGCGATTAGGTGAAAAAGAGATCTTGGAGAAGGCAGTAAAGAGTGCTGCTGCTAGCCGAGAGTATTATACCAAACAAATGGCGGATGGAGCTCCACTTCCTAAGTATGAAGAGAGCAATATTGCCTTGTTGGAGAACACTGTGGCAGACTCTAGACTCCCTATTGTCTTGAGAAACCTAGACAATGTGGAAGAGCAAGGGGACTTAAAGATTGATGAAGCTATGGATGCAGAAGTCACAGAAAATGGGTTTGTAAATGATGAAAACTCTCTATTTAATGGGACCAAATCAGAAAGTGAAAATTTAAATAAAGAGGAAAGCAACAGACAGACTGAAGATGCCAAAGAATCTTCTTCAGAAAGTACTGATGAGGTTAAAGAATAGTTCTAAAATTTGACTTTCTTGTGAAATTAAATTAGCTGAAGTTTATGAACAGTGCATTTATGTTGGTGTGTTTCTTTGTTAACATTTCTCTTTCTGCAGAGAAAAATGTTTTTGCTGCTTTATATAAAAATGAATTTTTAAGTTATTAAAAAGGTTTAGCACCCCTTTTCAATTAAGATTGCCATCTTGCTTTCAGGCAAAAACTGGGGATAGAGGTGCCTTTGGAAGATTTTGCAGCCCTTTGTTGAACCAAATGTATTTTCTTCCTGGGGAAGAATTAAGCTCTTCTATCTGCTGTGCTTTTGTTGTTCTGTCACTCTGACTACCGAAATTAAAAGCTTGCTCTGCCTCCTGCCAAGAAAGGCAGAAGGCAGGACTGACTCGGTATTCAGTATGAAGGTGGGAGAGCAGTACAGCAGAAAACTGGATAAGATGTTCAGAAACTTGGGAGACTTGATGAAAACCTGTTTAAAATCAGGTACGCCAGTCCAGAAAAAGGTAAGGTGGCAACCTTATGATTGGTAGTTTTAAATGTTGATGAGAATCCAAATTGTATACACTTAACGTGATCTCTGAAAATTTCAGTTTACTTTGTCTTTGTTTACTGTATAAAAATATCTCATCTTTCTTCTTCAGTCAGAGTTAGGCTGCTACAATACTACATTCACCAACTTTTAAAGGCTGACTTTTTATTTCCAGGTGGTACCTGTTGTTATTTACAATGTTGGCAGTGCTACTGGAGAGTTTGAAAGCAGATAGGCCAAGCCACAGCTTTAAAATGTACTGTTCAAAGTGAGGTTGCTTCCCAGCTTCTACAGGTTTTCACAATTAGCTAGAGATTTTCAAAGCTCCACTTTTGACTAAACCATTATTAAAAGGAAAATATGATTAATATTCTTGTCTGCTACTCCTTCATTTCTTTCTTGTTGGATGTAACAATGAATGTGATGTGGTTACTTGATCCTATCCAACTTCGTCTTTTGCTGAAGATGCTCATTGACACGGTTTTCTTGAAGGAAGTGGCAGGCTAATGTATTTTTGGCCCAAGTGCAAACCAAAGCCTAGTCTGCCGTATACTTTGCCATTTATAGTGTGTCTTTCTGATGCACGTTTCTCTGGATACCTCCACAGGTTAACCAGGTTTACTGTCTCCAGCAATTTTGGTCACCGTCGTACAATTTTTTAACTTACAGTTGAAAACAATACAATCCTACCATAGTGCAATATCAGGACAAGGGTAATTTCAAGGTCTGATTATGAAATTACCTGTTTGTTGGAAGGAGAAGAAAGTGGAATATTTTTATTCTGTGAGTGAATGGAGAGGTATATAAAGTGATTTAATTCTCCTCCCAATATTAAGGACTTTATCTTTTACCCGTTTTTCCTTAAAATCAAGATATTGGAAAGAGTGAAGAAGCTTGGACAGCAGTTGAAAGTTCAATAAATGTTGCAAGCTGTTCATCCAAGATCAGTTGCAGTTAAGTGTCTTTTGGCATATAGATAGTTTTATTACATTTTGCTTCTTTCATACTACAATTTGGAAAATGTGTTTTTGCATAAATTTTTGGTGCAATGCACATAAGTAGTGACTTTCAGGTTGTCATAGCAGTTTTGGTGTTCAGCTAGTATCAGTGTGGGGAAAATTTAAAAAAAAAATAGTTTTTTAAAAAATATTTCACTAAGAATGGCGTGTTGCCATTGCACCTTGGGTATTGCTTCACCACTAACAAGATGCTGGACCAGTATTTTTGTAACTATATGCTGCCTTTGGTAGAATGTCATGAATTGTTGTCTTGACAGTTTAAATGTCATACAGAAGTAGTTACTGATCACTTTTTATTAGGACCAATATTCCATTTCTGTTTCTGCCAGCTACATTGCACAACATTGTAGTAGATACTATGATGAAATCCTGAATCTAGCTTTCCTGAAAATCATAACTGTAATCCGGAATTTACATGCTTTGATTCAATCTGATACACTGTATTTTGTTCCAGTATTTGCTAATAACTATGGCTTAGCAAAGCCTGTGGTCACCACAGGACAGGATGTGTGGGTTTTCTTGAATAAAATATAGTTCTACAATATCTTCCCTAGTGAGAGTGTATTATACAATCAAAATCTGTACCTGCTGCTGACTGCTGTATCTCGTGGGGTATGGGAAGAGGAGTAACTGTGTCCAAGGACACAGGTGAAGGAAGGTTAAAGGAGAACTATCTGACAATTAAAAGGGGGATTCTAGTGAACAGAAACTGATCTATTAAGCACACAGCCAAATTCTTACTCTTCAGATGTTAGTGTCATTTAGCAAAATGTTGCACACGATAAAAGTAGTGAGTAATCTAATTTTGTAATTTGCATTTCTCCTTTACACGTGTAGCGGTTTCTCAGAACTAACCTAAAACTTCAGCTTTTGAAAACTGAGGTGGAAACAAAAAAAAAAAAATTGGCGCTGATGAGCCCTTATTACCATCTGTCATGAAAACAGACCTTTCAAAGCATTTTAAAGTTAACTTTCTTCATAATGTTTGGTTAAGAGGCTGTTCACACTAATCTCAGGCTAAATGCCAAATCTTGCTTCTGTTTAGCTGTCTATGTGAAGTACTCATGCAAGAAAGACATCGCTTGGATTTCTCAGACTGTTCTCCAAAAACAAAATGGGAGGGGAAAAAATAAACCTTTTGAATTTTGCATGAACCTACCTACTGATGAATCGTTTCCCTAACAACCTGCAACTTCTTCGGCTGCGTACTGCAGGGTTGTATGCTTCCAGCCCTGTTGTTGAAGTCATAAAACGCATGAAACAGAGCTACAATCTCCACTTTGAAAAAAAAATGTAAAGCGTATAAATTCAACCATAGTCTGAGTGTTGTCGTGAGTGTGAGCCGAGAGCCTTTTGGCTGGAGGTAGGATGGAGGCTGGATGCTGTTTAAAGGCCATACGTGTAGAAGATCTGTGCAGCTCATCAGTAGCTGCATACCTGAACGAGCATCATAGCCATGAAACTCGAGTGTATCAATGGTATGCTGAAAGGTTCTGCTTTTCTCTAGTTTGTATATTTAGAAACTATGTAATACATGTGGCTGCCAGTTCTTACCTTATAAAAAGATGTGAAGAATTGACAAAACATCGCAATTTGAAGCATTTTAATCTGATGCATTGAAGATGCTCCCCCAGATCCACTGCTCTTTCCTCGTTTTATGAACTGAAAGTGAGTTTTTGGCGTTCCTCATACTCTGCCAAACAGGAGCGTTTAGACAAAACGCTGCTCTACCGAACACTCAGACAAAGCAGCATCCAACCCTTTTCTCAAGAAGACTTCCAGTCCATGTTGAAGTCAGATGTGATCACATGACTATCACATAATTACTATCCACTTCCTTCTTCAGGTGCCCTACTGTACCAAGTACAGCATGGAAATTGGTGACTTGCTGTTTTTTGCATTTCTCCACATCTATTTCCTAGCAAGTGCAGCAGGCTTGGAAATTGTGCAAGATTTATGTTTAAAATAAGATAAAAATCTCAGTTGTACTTTTGAGGAAAAGGCAAAATATAAACGAACTGGATTCTTTTGGGTTTCGTCTCCTTAAATTCACTGAAATATTCAGCTTCTCTCACAACTGAAAGAATAGCAGCTATGAAGTTGTTGTAAATGGCACAAACTTTTGTGATACAAGTAAAATCTATTTCCGTGAACTCATTCAGTGAAAAACACAACAACACTCACATTTTCCTGAATACCATATTGTCTGTCCTGTGGCACCGAACAGAAACCAAAACACCTCTTTTTTTTTTCCTGCTGAATTTAAGTGCTCTAATATTCATTCTCCTGGATTATTTGTAACAGGCTTTAAAGTACAACCAAATAAGCTGTTTTGTGTAGCAGCATATATTGGTTGTGTCCCTTGGATGCTGCAGGAGAGCTGCTCAGCGCTGGGGCTACAAGGGGACTTTGTGTGTCCCTTCTGGGAGCATTGCTCAGAGCCACAGGAAGCAACATTGAAATCCATGGCAGTGCCCTGTTCAGGATGATGATGTGTCTGAACTTGGAGAGCTTAGTCCTACTCATGTCATATTTTTGCATATAGGACTGTTTCGCTGCACGAAGGTGATGGGGCACAGCTTTGAACCTGAGTGTTCAGTGTTCCAGGCCAACTCTTGTGTTCACTGTGCTAGAACTCATTTCTTTTTTGTTTCTATTTTTCAAAGATCTGAGGTCTGTCCCACACAAAATACAGTTTTGTTTTGTTTTGTTTTGTTTTTTTAGAACTTTGCAATTTTGGACAAACAATCATTTTCTTATTCTGCTCAGACAAAAATAAGGAGGACTGCTGACCACTACAACTGGTGCCTTCAAGCAGTTTAACTTGAATTTCAGTGGAATAGATCTGCAGCCCGTTGAGACTTTTCTCTGCTTCTTCAGAAAGTTGTTTAAAATCTGCATGAGAACAGGGAATAAAATCCCACTCCTGTTTCCCAGCTGAATTGCCATTATTTATGCACAGATCCGAACACCAGCAGACTCAGATAACTGAACTTAAACATTTAGCATTCTTTTAAATATTAAGTATATATCGCTCTTGAAAAATGGGTGAGCTTGAAGCCCTGAACACAACTCATTTGTCCTCCAAACAGGGACAAGGTGGGGTTGCCCATCCCATCCCATTCTTTGCGCACCAGCTGACAGTAGCTGGATTCCTGCACATGCCCTGTTGCACCTGCAGGAGTTATGTGCTTTTTCTGCTCCTTTGCATCAGGCTGGAATCACCTTTCTGTTCTGTAAAGGCACTGCTGTCAGTAGGAGAAATCTTGGCTGTCCCCATCAACCTGTCCCTGTACGAGTCCATAGCTTTTGTGTTGTGCTGTCGTTTAATGTGGATCTGTGCAGAGTATTTTTTTTTTTTAACTTTCTTTTTGTGATTACTGTTTGACTTAATCGTTCTGCAATTTGTTGTCACTTTTACAAAAAGTGACTCTGTTTCTGTAAGACAAAATTGGGAGCTATGTAGGTGTCGTGTATCAGGCAAATTCATTTCCCTTTGCTTTATTCTTCCTTGGTTCACCACATTCACCACTGCTGGCAACTCAGCCAAGGCCTAATTTTAGCACTAAGGAGATGTGTTATATACAGATTTGTGGTCCAAAGGTAGGAATAACTTTGAAACTGAATCCCTGTACAGAAGCAAGCATTCACAAACAGCCTCATACGAACTGCAAAGGAATTTTTAGATTAACTTGAATATCTGTAAGAGAGCCCTACTGCCTTTCTGCAATTAATTCAAGTGATTGGATACTAGGAATGGTTTATTATAATTGCACACAGGTAGTAATTTATTAGGGTGGCTGTTTCTTTTGGCATATGTCAAGAAGGTCAGAGTTTAAACTTTTTTGGACATTAACCTAGTCTTCTGAAACTCTGAAGTTCCACTTTTTGGTCATTAATTTCATACATGCTGAGATTGTGACAATTAACCCACTTAATAAAGGTCAAGCTTCAATTTTTTCCAATTTCTGGAACACTTAACTTTATTCCTTCTTGAAAATGGGCAGATACAGAATGATAAATAGTTATTAAATGAGAAGGAAGATGTAGTTCTGCTGTCAAGATACCATTGAAAGGCTAGTAACAAAAGGACCAGAACCACTGTGTGTTTGAAGTAGAAGGAATAGCTTAAGACTACAGGAGAATGAAATAGAGAAGTATAGATCACAGCAAGCTTTTTAAAACGTTTCCACTAGCATCCCCGTTAACTTGCTCTACCTTAGCTTCCAATTATGCAAATACATAATTTGTCCCTTTAAGTTTCTTCATGTATACATATGAGCTTTCCTACAGCTGTAAAGCAGCATCTAACCACAGCTGAAAGGCATAAACCAGCAAAGTGAGTAAGAAAACAAGGTTGGCTTTTTCAGCTGACCAAAGCCTTGTTACACTGCATTTCATTAATACCTGGATCTCAGAGAGCCGCAAGATTAGACAGGAATAAATGCTTGGTTCTGTGTCGTGGCATCATCTCTTAAAGGATACATTGATTTGTTGTTTTCTTAAGCATGCTATCGCTTGAAATTCAGTACAGACATACATTGTAGTTTCTGACTCCTCTGCAAAGTCAAAAAGCATATTTATTAATTTTAAATTGTACTATCCATTGAGGAATCAAAGTAGTCATTTTGTAAGTTAATACAATCAATGCATTGTTAGGATTAGGACAGTGCTGAGTGATTTTTGGAAACCTATTTTTCACATACATGTTCACCTGCTTTTAAGGTATTGACTAATACCTCTGGAGTGCTCCCACAGCAGTTTTATGGGTTGATGCTGAACAGTTTAATACAGGTACAGCCAGCAAATCTCTCAGAGAATAAGAAGCTCTGTGTTGAAAATAGCCTGTTTCCTCTATAATTGTTTTCTCTTGAAGAAGTCCTATTGCCCAAACCTTATAAGTGGAGATGGTGTTCTCCTCAATTCTCAGTCTGTTTGTAGAAAAACAAAGTGTGGAGGTGCGCAGTATCCAGCATGTGTACCAACATGACTGCACAACATTTGTATTCCAATATCATCGTTAGAAGAAATTGTTTTCCCTCTGGGAAAAAAAAGTGTGGTTCATGATTTTAAGATACTCCCATGCGTTTTGATACTGCTGTGGGTTACTTTCCATGTGAGAGGTCTGGTTGTTGCTTTAAAAACTTGTGCTGTCCCCGGTGGCCTCTATAGACATAGACACATGTGCTTTAGGTACTCTGCCTTCTCCTGCTGAGAGCAGTTATCAGTCTGTGCTAATGTTGCTAAATGCTCATGGGTTAGTAGTAATATGTATGGTACAGATGATTTATAGCCACTTGATTCGAAGGATTTTCAGCTAAAGCCAAGTATTTCAAATGATCAAACATCACCTGCCATGAGAAAGTATATTTACAGCACAGCTGTAGTTTTCAAGCTTACTCTTAGCAAAGTATTTTAATCTTTTCTTCAGATTTTACTTTTGTGATTAAAAAGCACTTTTTAAAGAAGTGGGGACCAACAAGTAGAACTTCAGCCCCAGAATGATGTGCAGTCCTGAGGTGTGCCTCAGGATTTTGTGTCACAAGATCCTGCATTTTCCTCTTCTTTCTCTTTATTAAGGCAGCTATTTTCATTGTCCATATTGGGCAACAAAATAAAAATAGGCTGGCTTTGTATCTTGTCAGGATGAAATGAAAAGTATGTATATCTTTTTTTATTTCCTTGAATATCAAAACAAGGCAAGTTTATTTGGGAACCGGAATTTTATTGCTTAATGTATATTTGCACCACGCAGTGAAAGCATTCATTTTCATGGCACGTTTTCTCCCAGTGATTTCCAAATGCCTCGCAGCTCTCACAAAGCTGAATTTTTGCAGTAC